ATTCTGAATGTCAGCGCTCTTTGCCTTAGGTTTTTCTGAACTCTTAGAAGCTCATTTTCGGTTTCTTCTAACTCCAAATTAATGGGGATACAACCATGTAGTTGTTTTGAAAAGTTCAAAAAATTATCATTCAAAGTGCTTTCAAATTTCCAATCTTCGAACTATTGGGGGGAATCAAAAGTATCACTAATGAAATACCCAATCTGTCCAGCAACTAGGCTGCCTACCAGTTCTCCAACCTTGATGAGTGGTTTGTATGGAATATTTGTAGTTCGGATACATTCGACACGCTGACGATATCTGGCAATTGGACGGAATATGTAATCCAGACGAATAACCTTTTGTTGATGACATACAGATGAAAAAGAACCCAGCAAATTAACGATAAATGTTGCGCACAATCAAGCTGCACTACCTGTAATAGTCCCGCATAAGACTGGCACGTTCTTCGAAGCGAGCCAATTCCACCTGCATCAGGGCCACATAGTAGTTCGTCAGCAAATATAGTTTATTTGTCAACCACGATGAAGGATTGAGACAAACTGGTATTCGAGCTTCGTTGGCCAGTTTAGACTCATCCAGGATTTCGTAGAGCTGATCACGCAAATCATCCGCTCGGCAATGAAGGTCAGCCTTAGTCTCCTTGTCTGCACGCATTTCATTCAGTACAGTGTTGAATGACTGGAGTGTTGGAAGACAGAATCTAAATCAGGCCATGCGTGTGTTCCAATGATAAACAAAAGAGACAGACAAAGCACTGTGCTGTACGAGTGGGGAAAATGTTCAAAACTATCCTATCCCGCACTGACGATGAATGCTCTTTTTCTTAGGGAAACATCCATCTTAGAGCAGTGTCTCTTGAGTCGGTTCATATAAAAAAAAATTAGTTCGTAACTTTTGGGTGATTATTCGTTCTAGCATGGAGTGCACAAAGAAGATGCCTGAGAAGGAGGAAAAGAACCGTCATGTTTCTCACGTTCCAGAAAGTAGGACTACCAATGTTGTGACTGGTAGGTTGGCTGTCAAAGTGAAGGCCTTTGGGAAAGAATAGTCAAATTCCCCGGATGTTTTCAAAGTGCGAGTCGGGCCGTGAGTGTTTTTAGTTTACCAGTTGAAAACCTGACTAGCTGAAGTGGTGGCGGGCCCATTGGTTTTATCGGCACATCTGCCTTGTGGATTTTTCGGCAGTCCGTAGGGTCGTGGTTGAATCCCTCTTACAAAACTACCGTAGGGCTAGGTCATCTACACAGTGGACGGAAGTACAAACGACGTTAAAGAGTGATCATGAAGTGGACCGAACCAGAAGAATCAGATCTCAGGCTGGATCCAGACATATGTAGGTTTCCACATCTGCCTTACACTTGGTCACCAACCCTAACACAAAAAATCCCTCGATCGACACCTAACAGAGATTTCACCTGACTCAGTTGATTAGTTCTCCGAAATCTTGACCAACCTCGTAACCTAATCACTTGACCTGACGAAGCCTTTGTATCGAAAGTGAAAAGTTGCCCAGCAACAAATCTGCCGATGGTTACCAAACTTTTCCGAAAACGATGACTACCTACCCGGTTCCAAGCGTTTTTCACATGATTAAAATATCACGTACATGTCAGATACTTGAAATTTCACGCTCTAACTGAATTAAGTGAAGGACGTTTTTCACATGATTAAAATATCACGTACATGTCAGATACTTGAAATTTCACACTCTAACTGAATTAAGTGAAGGAACCAATCAGACGTTACAGCTAATTTACTGTCAAGGTGAAAAGTTTTCAAAATGAGTTCAGGTCAAATCAAGTCTTGTGATCACTTCAGTCTTTCACTGCGGTCGTAAGACATGAGGTATGTCAGGTTGGAGAACAAGCTACCGTTTTTTAGTGTGTATCCGTCGACACACAATGTCTGGTTCAACCTCGGCCAGTAAAACAGCGGTAATATTGATGAAAAGGAGAATGTCTTCTCTGTGGAGTTATTTATTAGAAAACGCCAACTGAACAGTTACAGACTACTGGACAAGGGAGCAAAACTCTCATATGCATCTTGTTTACAAAACTGAATAACCATTTTCTCCTTGAACGTGTCTTCCTGAACTTTCCTGGATATTCATTGACTGTTACTCAATTGCAAGCAAATGCGATTCCACAAAGTCCGCAATAGATCTCACTTTTCAAGAGACACAAAGCGGGTTTACAAAAAAACATACTACTCGACTCGCATGTTCAATAGCATCACCCTTACACTGATAGTGAGATACAACAAACCACAGCTTACTTCTTGAAACTGCGTAACGTAGTGTTGTTTCATGTCGGGTCGGCGGAGGTAATTATAAAATTCCGTACGAGCCTTGTGAAGATGAGGCAAAACCGCCCATCGGTCACGACGCAATACGCGAAATATTGACATGCAGTTGCGCTTGTAAGAGTTTTCCATGTCTTCGTAGAAGTGAATAAGCACGCTAGCGGAGTCCTAAAAATAACAGCAAAATGTTAGCGACGGAAGACTTTAGATCTGATGGATTAAATTATAAAACAGCGTTTTAAATCAATGCACCATTAGTACAGCAACTGAGCTGGCATAGAAGATCACGGAGGAAAAGAGTATCTATATTTATGTGGGAGTAGTCTCCTCTCGATTGGAAATCAAACGCCTAACGGAGAAAGACTTAGTGGACATTGCAGGCAGATGGGAACTCTTCGAAGGCCAGGCAATCACCCTCAGGATAGGTAGGATAACCATTTACGTCGTAATGAACTCTTCTGAGACAATCTGTAGAATCAGTGCATTTTGTGCTCATAAACATATCGGGGATGGTCTAGATTGTCGTAAACCTCCATCTTTACACGGCTGAAGCTAGCAAGTTGAATTAGAATGCCGTCAAATTTCTGGCGCGTATTGCACGACCCCTGAAACACACTTTCACAAGCATCGTGAGCTATGTCTAGGGTAATCCGGGCCAACAGCCGTCTCCAGTGCTAACGCCCCAAAGTGTCTACCCATTTTAACAGACATCAATCACAGGATACGAAGTAAACAGTAAAATTCATAAACGTAACTGGTTTCATTGTGGTTGCACCTTACCTTTTGTAGATGAGATGTTTGAACTAGAAATATGCATGACTTATTTACACGGGTAGGGATGATTATGAAGGTAATAGTGGTGAGCCTCTGAAATGGAACTGGTTTATCCTCTGATGGACTGTATATCAGAATTTTGATCTCAGACGAACGAAGCTGAGTGGCTGAACGCTAAAAGAATAGACATTCTATTTTCTGTAGTGCACTACTCACAAGGTTGCTGAAAACTCCTCGACAGCCCGCGACCGGTTTCGCCCTTCTTGGGGCTCATCAGGTAGACGCAGACCCCGACTTTCCGTACACTTTATGTTTTACTTGAAACCAAGTTGTACGAAATTAGCGATGTTTTAATCAAAACCGAGATTCAGTTGGGTTCCAGGTGAGTCTCTCGAAAAGCCAAATTAGTTTGCAAATGAGCGTATATTCGCTAATAGACATTCTCGTTTAAAATTCGATGCTGGGACCATGGTTTGTTGATGGCAGCCATTCCGCTAGCATATATGTTGTCAGTAAACCTTATCAGATAAACGGGTTGATTGTTTTGAGATTGCTCTCTGTGCAATCCCGTTTGTGCGAATGTTGTACCACTGAAGCTACTGAGGAAAAAAGCGAAGATCACTCACTAGTGGTATGAGCCTGTCAACATAGCACCAACCCTCTTCGCCAGGCTTTGGTGGCAATACCTGTTCTTGTTTCACTGAGGACGCGTCCGCATTTTCCTGTTCGATTGCGGTTTTCTCGGTTTCTTTTGCATTAAGTGTCCGGCTTGAACGCTTTCCCCTGGCGGTCGATCCTGAACGCCTCGACTGCTTGTTACCAGGCTTTGCGGAACGTCTGGCTTGGCTGTCAGTTGATTGGTGTGATTTTGGGGTCTCAGCTACAATGAAGTGAATCTACCTGATATTATTTTGATTAGCATCAAAGCACTAAACAAACTTTTATTCCCTATTTGTGTTCAAAATATTCCCGTTTGCTATAATTGTGCCGCTCATTTGCCGTAGCGGACTAAGAGGCGCTGGAACCAAGATGACAGTTTACTAAAAATAACGCAGAATGCAGCTTTTGCTAATTCAATCAGGCAAGCCAAACAGATGACAAAAAGTCTATCTTTACTTTGAATCCGCCGAATGTGGCACGAATATACTTGCTTGAAGTTTTCCAACAGGTAATACAATTTGCAAAATTTAGGGTTCTTCATTTCAAGTATTGGTCTGAAAGGCCTAACGGTCCTATTTGGACACAGCATCTTCCTGCTCACAAAAAACATCGGTAGCGTACGGGTCGGCCTTAAAATCAAGCTAAAATTCGTTAAAAGTTGTTCGAAGTGAAAAGACGTTTGAAACTCGCTTGAGATTATGAGACAGCATTTGGTCAAACAAGTACGAATGTATGCAAAAGTGATTTCGAGCACAGACCTATGGCCTATTAGCCTACAACGTGAGTGAAATCTTCCGCCCATCCAAAGGGGCATTCAAGAGTGGTGCAGTCGAAGACAAACACAGTGTGTGGAGAAGAAAAGTAGGTTACAGGAAGATTCGAACCAGTCATGGAACCGGTGAGCTGGCGTGATGGCAGTTTTCGGAGATGATTCAGGAGACGAAATTCAATTGGAATTGACAGTCACTATCGTCAAGCTATTGTGTGTTCATAAGCGTCGTCTTAATTAAGGACCTTCAAAGATCTTTGGAATTGAATCTGGCGAGAAATTGCACAAGTGCCGCACAAACAATTTTTATTCCGCGCAATAAACGACGATGACAGATTCTCATGTGTCTGAGTGCTAACCTGGTCACTTTATGAGCGTAGCACTTCCTAAGCGATGCCCTCGATCTTTGCTTATAAAACCGTAAATTTCTTCTGGTTGCTAAGGCTTGTTAAAAATCTGGAGGCAACACAGGCTGAATTACGAAAGACAAAGTTCTTCTCCCAAACGGTGAAAAAGCATACCTTTGGGTTCGAGTTTTGTTGCTGCTTGGGTTTCTTTCGAATTCGTAGTTTTAGTTGTCTTGTCCGTTGTCACTTCATCTTTCTGAACACTTGTCACTTCATTTTCTGCTGCTTGCTGCTTCGGCTCTTTATCTTTTTGCGCTTTTTGGGGAGTGGGATAGGACTGGGAAGAAAATGCAAGGTATATTTTGAGAAAATTTGGGAAGTATTGAGATCGATAAAGTTTGTTGGAGCATTTAAACACCGTCATTCTTGAAGTCCCTTCAAATGCAAGTTTTACAGATGATGACGTAAATATTAGTGAATCAAAAGAGAGGGAAATTGTTTCATATACTGGATGAAAATTGTGAGTTTTCATGGATGTTGTACTGCGGGTTGCCGTTTATTGGTTACGCCTGCACTGAGCCCGTCAGACTACGCGATAAAGAGAGGACAGAGAACCTTGGACACGGCTGTATTGTCAGGACGAAATATACAGTGCTTCTGCGTAAATATATGGGATGACTACATGGCCAAATATGGCCATTCACTTGTTCGTTCTGTACAGCCGATGGCGATGTTCCGGTCGTGAGCACTTTCAACCCCACTCCACTGATCGTTTGCTGTTAAGCTGTGTTTGGTGGGCTCTGCTAAAGCACCTGCTCTCTGGAACGTGTGCTACCGATGACGACCTTGGGGATGCGTCATTTGCTGTACATGTACTTTTTTTCATGTCCGAGCGTGTTCCTGACATTGGACCAACTGGCATCTTTGGGAAACTCAGGCTACTGTGTGTGGTTGATGTACTTATTTTGTTTATACCATTAGTCTGTAAAGATCTACCAAATCCCTAGTTCCGCCCACCCGCTTGGACACAACTCCAAGTGTTTCAACTTTTTTCTCAGATTTGGAAAGTGCTTACCAAATATGTTCATATATTCTCCCGCAAGAAGCTCCACACAGTACACTGTCAGTAAAATGTTAAAACAGAAAAAAATGTTTGCACGTTTGAATATGCGCAGGTAGAAAGTGCAAATATCTGGTTGTCTTCTTATCCATGAGTGGTTATATGGGGTCATGAGGTCATAGTAATCCCTAACTCGTCGTTTCCGTGGGGCGTTGTATATTATTCAGCGTATGGTCTTCAAATGGAACCATACAAACTGTATCAAAAAATTGACTACCAATGAAGACCGGAGAGAAGCACGTACGAGACCCTTGATGTTCATTTGTGTCCGCTAAAAGTTCACCTACGAACAATCAGTACTGCACCCTGAGGATGCTTAGTCCAATACCCACGAAGTCTTCTAGTGTGGATGAACCGTTTACTATGTTAGATGGTGCTTTAAGCGGTTTGAAAATACGTACAAGTTTTTTGACAAAAGGGTGGTGTAACATAGAAGGTGGGCTTGATACGCGCTCCCGTAGTTACTCTCATCAACCATTCGGACCAACTGCGTTGTTAAGCCTACCACAGTTGACTGCCACAGAGTTGGAAGTCCCGACGGACCAAATGCCATTTGCTCCTAAAATCTAGTGCGATTTAAAGGGCCCTGCTAATTTATTTGGGTGGTTTGAGTACACATACAAAGTGGAGGAACTGGTGTGTGAAATTTTTGTACATTGATAAGCACTGAATTTAGAGAGAGAATGATTATTTAGGGGAGGCAACTGGCGGTGGAAAATTTAGAAACAGCAGTGCAGGATGCGGAATACGTCGTTGGGGCAATAAAATCCCACCAACTTGTCACTCAGTAGGACCATTTACGTCTATA